TTTCTTATATGGAGAATTTCGCCCATAAGAAAAATATTTTACATACGAAAATTTGTATTTCATTCGGAAAAAATACATTCTATCAACTTCATCATGAAACTTATATAATTTAATTAAAAAACTTGAAATCCTTTGAGTGCTTGTCCCAACCCCTGCTATACCTTTGGTCACGTGACTTCCATGATAAACTTTGCGTTTTGCAATGTTATGACTTAAACAGAAGCAATAAATGTTACAAGCGTATTATTTATGATGTTTTAGGCAGCAATCGTGTAATAACATCCTTAAATTATATACATTTTGCTTAAAAGAGGTCACGTGATGTTACCAGATTGTGCTCGGACAGCATCTTCTTGAACTTCGATTTTGAGTACTTTTTACCTTCATTGAGTCCTAATAACGGACGTTTTTAGTTATAAAATGAAGCAATGAATCTATTGAGGGCAAAATTCAATCATTTTTGCACTTTCAAGCCGGGCTATCCTGGCATGAACTTCGGCCGGTTTGTGTGTGAAGCCTATGGTGAAGGGAAAACTTCACGCCCGGCTGACGTCACAGACCTCGGCTACCAAATCGTGTCCGGTGGGGGTCGGTCAGGCGCACACGTGAAATTCCCGCTCTGTTTTCGGAGTAGTGTGGTGGAGTGGGGTGTTGCTGGTGGTGCTCTGATTGTGATCGTTTTTCAGAGATCCTGTCGGCTGGAAGTTTATTTATTTCATAGTCTGCCCCGTTGAGTGAGGTAAGATGTATGCTACTTTCTCTAGGAGCTGGAAAACTGCGTGCTGTTTTCTGTTCGTAGCTTGAGCGGTAAATGTCAAGTTTAAGTCCTAAGAAGATTTCATTGATAAATTTTTCATATTTTTACATAATTTGACATCCTGAATCCAAAAATGATACTCATGTCTCGCAAATAAAAGAAAAAAACATAATCAAACCTGACCTAACCTTACCTATATACCTATAACCTACCAACCTACAACCTACAAACCTACCCTAACCTAACCTAACCTACAAACCTACCTACCTACAACCTAAAACCTACAAACCTACAACCTAACCTAACCTAAAACCTAAAATTTTTGCTGTTTCATATTCGTATCAACAGCGCCACAATTGTAGTTAGGACCTAAACTTGACATATACCGCTTGAGCTGGCGATCCACCGCCCATGGCCGACACCTTCCAAATTGAAATCAAAATATGTGTCATAGGTGAGAACTGGTGAATGTATGATACCAATATTGACTAAACTAATTGGTCTTTCTTCACAGGTACTTTTTGCTCTCAGGGCTGCATATCAGTAGGCGGAACTATGGTCATGAGTACCCAAATATAGGAACGTTCCCATTTTTGGGAACGGAGTTCCCAAATATGGGAACGGGCGTTCCCATTTATGAGAACGGAAGGCAATTTTTCGGCCGTTCTCCCACTAAAACTCAAAAGTGCATCACGTCTCAAAAAAGTGCACGCTGATTTAAGTATCTACTAAATCTCCATAAAGTTATCTTTAATCTGACCGTGGAACAAGGAAATTGACCGTGGAATGATATTTTTAATGATTTTTTGAAAATGACAGAATGGTGGAAATATGGGTTATACGACATTTAGCATGCAATTTTAAGGAAAATGAAGCATTTTTTAGTTTGAGGTAAAGTATAATAATTTTCGCCTGGTTATGAACTTTCATACTATCGACACCAGATGCTGACAAATGCAAGCGAAGACGCGGACGGTCCCGAGGTAATATTGTTGACTTTTGTGTCGGGGCGGACGACCGCGTGGAACGTGAGTGAATTTACCGAGCTACTGTTGTAAACTCAGTTTAAGCGGTTGAAAATTATCCAGCTGTATTTTATCATCCCGGAAAGACATATTTTATTTGAATGCTAGCTGTTTAGAGTTGTTTTATAAGGAGCGTCATGAGCGTGGTTTTTGTCTTCCGTGTTTCTAAGCGTGATCGTTTTGGGGGAATTTCTCTTATATAGCTCGCTCTGTGTGGCTTATTTATAATTTTTATGCTGATTTCGATAATTCCTCGTGCCCATCCTACCAGGCCTTTTGCCACTTACACTCATCAAGAAAGGAAAAAACTAGATTTTCATTGGGACTAGGTGTTTTGAGGGTGTAACATATTCAGCGTTCCCATTTTTGGATACTTCCTTGTACTCGTCAACTATCGGTGATAAACAGACAGGTGCTTGACATGTCTCCACCCTCAGCGCGGACGGTGGATATAGGTATGGAAGACCTTGTTGAACATCGCTGAGCGTTGTGAATTACGTAATCCTGCAGAGGGGGGCGTGCCCGCTGCGAGATCGACGGGAATAAAAGCGCAGAAGACCGGGCGAAACATGCGACGGTCTTGCCGGAAAGGTCATCTGATGATTGTTGCGTTAACAATAATTTGCGGCGTTGGACGTGATGCTTGTTAATGAAAAGAGCCCCTGAAAGGCGTCGGTGAAATCGTTCCCAATTTTGGGTACGCCGTTCCCATAATAAGGAACGCTTGCAGCGCCAGTGTACGAGAGCGTTCCCAAATTTGGGCTCGCGGCCCGGATGATGGACTGCTTTAGAAATAGGGGAACGATTTGAAACTACGATGGGCCTTACAATATCAAACTCTTTCCCAACAATATTGAGACAAATATCAGGCGGTTCACGATCGTTTTATATTTTTTGGACGTCATTTAACGGTTCTTTTTCTTGTTTTAAATAATGCCTACATGGCGTTCCCATATTTGGGTTTATCGTTCCCAAACATGGGAACGAAAATGCGTTCCCGAAAATGGGTACGCTTGACCATAGTTCCGCCTACTGATATTGCCAGTTTGAACTTTGCAAGTGACATCTTGGTTGCAATGGATACCTTCATGGGATGTCTGCTCTGCATTTATCTACTGAGTCTCACCCAGAGGAGCCTTGGAGCTGCATTTAAGGACTACTATAAAGTTATGGGCCTGGACAGAGAGGCTACAAAGAGAGAAATCAAAGAAAGGTTCAAGAAGCTGGCCGTTCTGTACCACCCAGACAAGAACCACTCTCCAGAGGCAGAGGCGCGCTTCTACGAGGTTCAGCAAGCCTTCGAGGTTCTCTCGGATCCAATCCAGAGGGGCATGTTTGACATCAACCTCGGGCTGGCAGAGCGCTACCCAGAGATGGTGGAACGCCACCACGCGCGCGGCGGCCACCGCCGACGGATGCCCGTCTTCAACAACCTCCGCGCCGTGCACGAGGCGGTACCGGACGCGCAGCCCTCCTTCGACAGCGGGAACGTCGTCACCGGGTTCTACGTCGGCATGGATCAGGTGTCGGGCTTCCAGCCGCCGCCGGACCGGATTCTGCGTCCTCGGGGCAGCCTGCGCCTCCCCGAGAGCGGCTGGGACACCGACGACGGCTCCATCACCTGCAGCACCTTCAAGGAGGAGGGCGTGGACGGCCGGGCTCACCTGCACACGCAGTGTAGTTAATACCTACGGCTGTGCTGTCGATCTGAGATCGTCTCCGCACTCCGCGGTGCTGTGCCACTCGTGTTGTTCAGCCGGCTGTGAATGCCCAGAACTCGTGGATGCTTTCAGGGACTGTGGGAAGGGCTGTTGCGGTCTGAACCGGTGGATTCTTTCAGGGAGGCGGGAGGTGGATTCTTGCGGGGAGTGTGGGAACTCTGCTGGGCGCACAGCCGCGGGTCGGGCAAGTGTACAAATGTCCTCTCATGACGGGTCAGAGCTATATGTATAGGTAGATTATAGCTGTGTGTTAGCCGTGAGCCCGCTCTAACTGCTACGGTTTTTGTAACCGCGGTCCGCGCCGACTGACGCACCGAGCTTTGACAAACTCTTATCGGACATTGTTAAAGACAACCTGCTACCAAATAGTTCCTTGTAGAATGTTTATTAGCTATTTGTTTAGTATCACACTAGATCCGTAGCTGCAAGAAGGCGCTCTGTTGCCTGTAACCTGCGTGGTAGCCGTTCCCGATCCCGTTTCTGACTTCGGTGAGCGATTTAGAAACGTTTTGGACTAAGCTGCCAGCAGCCAGCGGGTCGGTTGTTTTCAGCGGATATTATATAGAGTCTTTCTCCCGCGCGCGGTGCTCCTGTGCCATGTGAAGCATGCTGTCGAATACCTCTGATGCCGGCCCGTGTTTTACTTAATGACGGCGGCCAGTCTTTCGTAAAATATATTCGGTTTGTTCTACTGTAATTTTGTCTGGAAGCTATTTCATGACTGGAACGAACGAACGGTACGAAACGAACGATTAAATTGCCGATCCCCCATTCGCCGTATCAACCTTTATCAACTTAACGCACTCCGGCGACCTTGTATTGCACATATCCGAACGCAAAACCCGTACAGTGACAACTGACAACGCCTACACATATTCTCAGCGGTCCCTGAAGCCGCCGTTGACCGCACTGACAGACAACCCCCCCCCCCCCCCCCGAGCGGTGGCGTGCCAGACAACACAACATTTGACCGTCTCTTCACTATGACCAGAGCTTGACCTTACGAGCCAAGTCTCGGGATTCCATTTCGTTGTCAGTGATGTTAATAATTAAGGCTATCGAATAACTATCGAATGTACCTACGCTTATTGGTCAGCCCGTGCCACGAGTGAACACAACAGCTCAGATCAGCGCAGAACAGGAGACGCTAGCGGACCGCCAATGGCGCTCGTTTGTACAGAGGTATCACTTTGTGCATGCGTGCAAACACCTACTGACTAGAGCTAACTGCACAACTAGTTCTACATGTCACCAAGTTGTAGAAACATTGGACGGTAATATCACTGTAGGTTTCTGTTTTCGTATGAACGGCGAGCGCTAGCAATTTACACCAGAGGCGGATCCAGCTCAGAGGTTTGGGGGGGGGGGGCAAACCATAAAAATTTATCGATTCTTTCCATGCATCGTCCATAGGCGTAATGTTAAAATCATGCCGTTTGGGGGGGGGGGGGGCAAATGCCCATTTTGCCCCCCCCCCCCCCCTGGATCCGCCACTGATTTACACGATCACAAAACTATGAAGACCACAATTATCGCGCGCTCGCGGTGATTTGCGAAGCTTACGCACTCAACTTCAGTAATCTAGCTTATTGACAATAAACGGCAGCCAACTCTCTCAACAATGTTGAACTGTAGCGCTTATTATACAAATATCACGAACAGCGAGCGCTTTTTACATAACTTTTTACATAGCCGAACGCTTTCGAAATTTCCGTGAACAGACATTTAGCAACCGTGCCGACGAACATCAGCTGACGTGTACAAAGTTATGACGTCATCAGGCGTGACGTGTACCAACTACGAACGTCATGACGTCATCGTATTATGTGGGCGGTGCACTAATGGATATGTGTAATTCGGGCTCCCCTCACATGGCTTCAGCCCTGAGTGACTAGATTTGAGATCAAGCGGGCACGTTTTGTACGAACATCAACAAGTGCATGACTAGCGACTGGCCGGTCTCGGATCAATACTTGTTGTCATTAACTACCAACAGGACCAAAGGCGCACTAGTGCTCAACAACGTCACCATATTCCCTGCGAGTGAAGTGAATCACACAGAAACAATGCGAGAAGCGTCGCGTGAGAAATCACAGTGTGCACGTGGAAAAACCCGCGCGTCGCAGTGGCTGCCTCAATCCTTCCCTGCAGCTGCCTTTCCCTGTACCACCGCCACGCCATCACAATAGTGGAGATCTTACATAATCACAACTAGTGGTCATTACACGTTCTGAATATGACACGTCACCTAAAGCCACGGACGGTATCACGAAAAAGCCTGAGTGCAGTTTACAACGAGGTGCCCTGGTGCTATCACAGGTGACTGATGTGATCATATAACACGACGTGATACTGACGGTCATCGTGTGTCACTTCTTCGTTCACCACATCTACCAATGATGGCCATTATCACACGTAGCTATTACACGTAGCAGTGGCAAGTATTTCACGTGGGTTCTCCAGTCATTATAAGTGGCTACGTGATCCCGGTGGTCCTCACTCGTTGCTGCTGTGAATATCCAACACGTGGCTGCTGTGTTGAAATCACACGTGGCCCTGACGGCCATCACATCACTCGTGGCTTTAACGGTCATCACACGTGGCACTCACTCGTGGCTGCTGCGTATATAACACGTGGCTGCTGACTGTCATCACACGTGATATCACCCGCGGCACTCACTGGTTCTCACACGTGGCTGCTGCGCACGGGCGGCCCGGAGAAGACGGGGTAGCCGAGCGGCGGGTCGGCCGCCTGCACGGTCAGGTTACGGAGGATCATCGGGTGCGCCTGTCGGGGCAGAGAGACCGTTGTCATACAAAGGGCAGTATGGAGCGATAGTGGGTGGAAACGGCGGACTTAATTTCGGAGTTCGGAGGTGCAAACATGAGCACATGGAGAATTAGTCTATGGCGACTCAGGAACGCCATCAAGCATGACTGAAACGTCTTGCGAACCAGGTTATTAGCAACCAATGTCACCAACAAACAAGACGCACGACCCAAACAGGTGACTGGTCATAGGCACCTCACACAGCAGCTGTCTGTGGTAACCTCGGTATCGTCTATTTACCCTGTATCCTTGCTGTCGTAAGTGCACTTTACCTCGCCCGTACCCGTCCGTACGCGTCTGCATGTATTTATAATACCTGTCTGTGCCAGTCAGCAACAGTTATCAGTACCCGATCGTACCTGAATGCTGTACCGCTCCTCGTCGTCATTGGTGACGTACAGCAGCTCCAGCGCCAGACTGGCCCAGACTCCTCGGACCAGCTCGGCGCTCAGACTGCCCACCGAGACAGTCTGGTCGCCCAGACTCAGCAGATGCGACGTGTAGGTGTTCTGGGGAGATGGCGAAGGGAGGGGTTATCGCAAATCCCGCAACGCATACACGAAGCCCGCCGTTTGCGAGACGTGTATGTGTTTGGAGAATGGATAATTATTATATGGCCGAGAGTGAGGCATTTGCATTTACAACATGCATGGCTCCGTTATCACGCATCATTTACGACAGAATATCCGAATAGACTTCGCTTGGTTGAACAATGCGAGGAAAAGAGGCAAAGTAAATACGAAGTCGCATCATCTGCACCTCTACCCCGCATATGAAGCTGAAGTCTCACTCCAGAATATATTACCCGTGATACTCGAATCATCATCACATGCATACACTTTCAACCAACTGGCGTCTAACCATCACACCCCTGATATTCTGAACTGTTAACCTCCCCCAACTCTGAAACTCTGACCTCTCACCATATCAGCCCAGACCCTCTCTCGCCCCACCCTCTCACCCTGGAGTCATCATATCCGAGCGAGAACAGTGACGGTTTGTGCTGAAGGACCGCCTGCCGCCAGCCGGGGTCCGAGTCCAGTCCGATGTACCAGTCGGTGCTGTACTCCTCCAGCGTGTCCAGGAGCTCGTCGTCAGAGTCGAACCCGCCCAGCAGGATCGAGTCGAGCGCCAACTTCACAGACCACCTGGACGGGGAGGTGGTGGTGAGGAACCGAGACCGAATTTGAGGAAGGCACGGCTGCAATAATTATGTCAGAGAGAAAATTCGGGAAATGTGCATACGGAAAATGGGGGAAAACAATAACATTTAGACTGCCAAGTGAGAGTGCTCTGGAAATTTGGATGTTCTTATCTCATCTGAACACGATATCGGCTGCAGTACAGAAAAAAGTTCGTTAAACATGCGTATTGCGTATGAAAGTGGAGCTGTTACCGGTCTGTCGCCATTGATAACATCACAAGTGATCGGTGATCAACGCTGTCAGCAGCTCTGTCGCTTTCGGGCAGAGTCGACAACTACTGACCTGTAGGCTCTCCGTGCCAGTGCTGCGACCACCGGCGCCCCTCGCAGCCAGGTACCGGCCGGGGTATCCGGAGCGCCGCCCTCTCTATACAGGGACAGCACTCGGGCCGGGGACGAGCCCACCTGGAGCTAGGGAGGGGAGGGGGGGGGGGAGTTGCACCGGGTTAGGGTATCACAGGGGTGTCCGGGGCGCCGCCCTCTCTATACAGGGACAGCACGCGGGCCGGGGACGAGCCCACCTGGAGCTGGGGAGGGAGTTACAACGGGTGAGGGTATCAAAGGGGTGTGTCTGGAGCGTCCCCCCCCCCCCCGCCCTCTCTATACAGGGCCAGCACGCGGGCCGGGGAGGAGCCCACCTGGAGCTGGGGGGGGGGGGGAGTTACACACCGGGTTAGGATATCTCAGGGGTGTCCGGAGCACCGCCCTCTTTGTACAGGGCCAGCACACGGGCCGGAGAGGAGCCCAACTGGAGCTGGGGAAAGTGGGAGAGGGTGAGCTGTGGTGGTCATACCAGGTCAGAGAGGCATATCAAGGTCGAGTGTAACGGACGAAACTGGAAAGTTAGCTGACAGCTGGTGCATGACATTTACAGTGGACTGTGACAGTGTGACATGTCAGCTGTCTGAAAGGTCTGTGACAGCTTAGACAGGTTAGACACTCAACCGCCCAGCAAAGCAGGAAATGTTGATCATAAATGCCAAAATACAATTAATTTAAAACAGTGCGATTGCGTACAGCTTTATGAGTTGAAAGAATTACAATGTCAGACACCGCGGTGGTGCCTGGCTGTCAAATAATTACTTGCGTTATCACTCCCTAAACACCAATTATGACTAATCCCAAAAATGAAAGGCAAATAAATGCGATACGATCCCGCACACCCTCCGACCCCACTGACCTGCCTGGCGGTGCCGTGGTACGCCGAGTCCACCAGCTGACACACCACTCTGTGATTCTCCATCACTCTCTCCACGGCCGCGTCCCCTCCCAGACTCTCCACCGGGTCGGTCGCCGCCGCGCCCACCACCGTCTCTGTCAGCGACTGCCCCTTGGCCGCCTTCTGTGCCTCCTTCTCGAGTAGTGAGGTGACAGTCTGTACCCAGAACTGCCGAGGGAATGGAGAGGACAGTTCGGTGTTGAGCGGAGGCGCCGCCAGGGTCCACACTGCCGGGGGAGTCAGGCGGCGCGCCGCGGCGGTCGGTGGGGGCGGCACGGACGGCGCGGAGGGTATCAGGGGCTGCCAGGCGGCGCGGGAGGGTCGCCGAGACGAGCTGACGCGGCCGACAGAGGCGGTCACAGAGCCATGGGTCGAGCCGGGCGGAGTGTCCCTCTCGGAGCCGGGCGCCGGGGCGACCCGAGAGCCGCTGCGTAGACGGCTGGGGCGCCGGCTGGGGGTGGTGGTCACCGACCCGGCGCCGGAGGGGGCACGTCGCGGCGGGGACGGGCGCGAGGAGGTCGGTATCGGCGGCAGCTGCGTGGAGCGGCGGGGGGAGGCCGGCGCGCCCGTCCCAGACGGAGACCCGGCCGGCGGGCCGACCATGATGGTCGTACTCGACACGAGAGGAGGCGGCGGCGGCGCGGTACCCTCTCCCTCCGACCCCGGCGAGCCGTCATCCGCGTCCAGCACCTGTCTGAGCCAGGGCGCCGCTCCCAGCGCCACCCCGGCCGGCTTCTGCGGCTCGAACAGCAGCAGAGAGCCCTGCGAGCCGTCCGACCACTCCGCCACCTCTCCGAGCAGAGCCGGCGGCGCCGGGGAGCTGAGCGCCGTCTTATAGCGCTCCATGCTGTCCGCGCGGGCCGTGTTCTTCCCACCGGCCGTGTCACTACTCTGCACCGCCTTGGCGAGCAGCTTCTGCTCCTCCGCTACCGCGTCAGTGGTGAGGAGGTGCTGCACCAGCGTCCAGGCCAGCACCTTGGGGAACAGCTCCTCCACCGCGGCCAGAGTGGCAGAGTTGTCGATCACTCCCGTCAGCTGACTGCGAGCGTCCGAGTACCCCGGCACGTGCAGCTGGGTGAGAGGTGTGAGCGCATGGAACCAGAACGGTGCCAGAGGACTGGCCGACTCGGCTGAACGCTCCTCGTCGAAGGCGCAGTCGAAGATGGCGTCCACGCGCGTAGCCTCGGCGGCGTGACAGGACGTCTCCTGGAGCTCCAGACCCTGACGACGGGAGGGGACGGGTTACTGAGAGAGCTAGCGATGGATCGAGCCAGATGGAGGTCCAGATCACAGACAGCAGAAGAAAACGCATATTAGAACATAAGCTACAAGCTATTACATGTAGTTCGTACCAGGCAATGTCATGCGTACGGGGCAGTAATCCATCGGATTAATTTAAGTCGTTTATCGCTGTTAAATAAACAAGCTCGGAGGCTTATCGATCTTTTAAGCTCTTGAATTGATTGCTTTTTGCCAGCGAGGGACGAATTCATCACATACCTTGATGCAGAAGTAGATGTATGCGTTTCCCATTTCGGCGACATAGATCCACATGAGCCTGTCTTCAAACCGGAGCAGCAGATAGTCCCCGGGCTGGATAAACCCTGAAAGCCGCAACGCATCGATCATTAATGTCTGTCGAAACATCTACATTCTTCAGCGGCGCAGCAGAGTGGCAGGCTATAATCGTAGCATAACAGACACTCGACAATCATGGCAATCTTCCCTCAACGATCGTTTCAACAAATAATCATAGATAAAGCCAAAGGAACTATTAAATATCCGCGTTCGCCAAAAGAAGGCACGGCTCTTGGCTAGTCCGTATAGAGATACATTTCCCATGCGATTTACTAAGAAATCCGTGCACAAATCAGTCCCATCCTTCCTTCTCACCGGCACATCCGTCCCAGACGGCCCTCCCCAGCACGTCTGCGGTCGGAGCCGACATCTGCTGGTAATACACGGCGTCTGGACCGGCGGTCTGGGGCGCCGCCGGCACCCGGCCCGCCGGCCGACGGGGGAAGGTGGCCACGAACAGGGGTAGCGTGCAGACGGGGAGGAGGGGGGCAGAGAACAGACAGGAGAGCGCCAGCAGGCCGGCAGTGATGGGTAGCAGAGCCGTGTTCAGCGCTGGAACAGAGAGAACACAAAGAAATACTGAGCATGGATGACGAGATCGTTCGCGACGAGATACAAAACAACGTAGTGGATGCAAGGCAATACGTTTTGGGAAATCATGTAGCAGCTTAAGTTAGCAAGGAGTTCTGTCTGTCGATAGTCCACGATCAACTCCCCACCCAGTTACATCCCATAAGGACGGTCCCGCTCAGCAGCAGTCAGCATTTAGCACCTACACACCCTCTCAAGTCTCAAACCGACCCCCCCCCCCCCCCATCAACTCACCGAACAGCACGTGAGCGCGTCTCCTCTCCTTCACGCTCAGCCACGACGAGAGCAGCACGGCCGCCATGTAGAGCTTCCCCCGCAGCTGAGTCAGTCGGTCCCTCAGAGCGCTGGCGGCCGTTAGTACGAACTCCGGCCGCCAGGCGGCAGCAGTGGGCCACAGCAGACGCACCAGGAACACCAGAGCGGTCTCCGGCAGGGCGGCCTCCGTGTTCTGCCACACCTGTGTCAGGGGGAGGGGGAGTGAACAAAAACAGCAGACCCCAGGACGATCTACGGCAGGACCGATAGTTAGTCGAGGCAGCAAAAGAAGTGCAGCTAGCACAAGTGACTTGCAACCGCGCATTATGACATAAAACAATAAAACATCACGAACGATCGACCAACGACCTCCTTTCCTTCAGCTCTAGTTGAGACCGTTCTACATCACAATCACACGCCTGCCACACCTTCCAGAGGTTCCCGCCATACTCAGAACACTCGAAATCTCCACCTACCCATCGGTAGCAGCGCGCCAGGCACACGGCTGACAGCAGGTCCTCCGGTGAGCCGCGGGGCGGGCGGTCCGCCGCCGCCGCCTCGATCTCCCAGGCGATGAACAGAGTTAGCAGCAGAGGCGCACCTGTGGTGAATGAGAGAAGAGAGGTCAGTCACAGTGTGTTACGTCGCAAGATGGATATTGGGTCGATACCAGAACTAGATGCTAGAAAGTTGAGGTAATGCAGATATAAAACGTATGTAACTATCGATGACAAAATATTAAACTTGACCATTATGGGCAGTGTGATAACGTCTCTCATAACCATGGATTCATCCCGAATGCCCGTCCTTCTTTGTTTAATCGGGGTTTAGTGCGCGTTGATTGCTATATTCATTTCGCGCCCTTTAGGTTGGTCACCGTCACATACCGAGTTCCACCGACCGAGCTCGCCACGGTTCCCGTCTCACCGAGTGTGTGCAGCCGCAGTCCGGCGGCGCGCACCCAGCCTGTGACCCCCCGACCGGCGGCCGGACGGTACAGACAGTTCCTCAGCAGACCGGCGCAGTACACCCGCTGCAGTTCCACGAACACCGCTCGGCCGGCGGCCAGCGCCAGCAGCGCGGCGCCCAGCGACGGCAGCGCCCCTGGCGGCGGCCGGCGGAGGCTACCCGCGGCGGTCACCGCGCCGGTCGCAGCGCAGCAGACCGCGGGGTAGAGCAGGGAGCGCCACCAGCCGCCGGGGAGAGAGGGTGGGCGCCGGCGGCAGAGGCTGACCGCAGCGCACCACAGCCACTGCAGGAGACCGACTGTGGGCAGACACGGGGGTAGAGAGGGGTCAGAGTGACAGCCCGGGATGGAAGGGAATCGTATCAACGCCTGTTGCAGTCCTTGTTGAAACATTGAGCTGCTGTGTTAGCTGCCGCTTAGCGTCACTCGTCAGATTACCACATGCTACTGATGTCTCGCTAAGGAACTAAAAACCACCTAGCATTAATCGACCAATATAAAAAGGTTGACTAATGCGTCTCCTCAACGTCATAATATGGCTCCAATATTGATCAAGAATGCACTCTCAAGATGACGCCATACATAAACATTACATAACGCATCGCAAGACGCAAACGCACTCAGGTGGACCCTTGAACTCCACTTCGAATTCGTGCAGACAACTATGACGCTAAGGTGTAACCGTGAGTCCCCTCTGCGAGTGACTGCCTCGTAGAGCTATGACGGAGATTCTCCGATTGACTACGACAGCCGCAGACTTCTTGTGATAAACAAAGCACTAACCGACGTCTGCGCTGAGCAGGCAGCCTCCCACTGCGGCGGGTAGCAGCCGGTCGGCCGAGGGGATGCAGCAGAGAGGGACGGCCAGGGCGGCAGCCAGCAGCAGCTGCACCGCCAACCGGGACGGCGTCACACAGGGAGAGCCGCCGCACAGCAGAATCTGAGGGAGATGGAAGGGCATGGGGTTAGATACAGGAGCTGCACCGCCAGCCGGGACGACGTCACACAGGGAGAGCCGCCGCACAGCAGAATCTGAGGGAGATGAGAGGGCATGGGGTTAGATACAGGAGCTGCAGCGCCAACCGGGACGACGTCACACAGGGAGAGCCGCCGCACAGCAGAATCTGAGGGACGGGGGATGGGGTCAGAGATGACAGAATTTGAGATACGATAACACAGCAGAATCCGAGACAGGACGGTTAAAAGACAAAGTGCAAATGACGGTCAAGAGTCAAGAGAGCAGCCCTGTAGAAACTGCAACTCACCAGCACATCCCCGAAAAAAATGAAAGGTTGTTCTGGCATAGCGTGTTATCAGCAGCCTACTTATCCACAAGCCCGTTTAAAATCTTTTTTGAGTCAGGTAGAACTTTACGTCCACTCAAAACTCACCAGCGTCTGTTCTGAGAGCCACCCGAAGGCCACATCCATCGGCGGGATGACCCCGAACAGCCAGAGCAGCGGCAGCGCGCACATCGTCAGGCGAGCCACCACGTCACAGGTGATCAGCCAGTCGGGGGTCGGAGAGGGCCACCTGCAGGAGAAGGGAGAGGTCAGAGGTCAGCACAGGAGACTAGGTCACAGGTCGGGAACCCAAGTACAACAAACAGTGAATTATCTTGAATGCATGCATGGCTAACAGACATAGGGAATGGCCTAAACACCAGGGTGACGAAAATGAGTGACCTGCTATTTGCTAAACATTTAAGCAAATGCATCCGAACGAGGCACCTTGCTGGCGACAAAAACCCAGACTTCAAAGTTCAAACATGTTTCACTAGCGAGCAATGATACACCATCACACAACTGAGCCACGTCATCCCTCGTCCGTCACCCTGCCCACTCACCCGTGTTGGATGAACAGCAGCGGCGCCGACAGCAGCAGCAGGTGGAGTGGCCGGTTCAGAGCGGCCACCTCCCAGTCATCCAGTGCTCGCAGCGCGGCCGGTTCGGGGGGCCGCGCCACCGTCACCGAGTACAGGCCCGTGCAGACGCTGAGCCAGCCGAGCACCGGGAACAGGACCACCAGAGCGGCGCCGTGGCGGGACACCGCCGGGAGGGTGTCTGGGGAGAGGGCGACGGCGGCGGCTGCAGCGGCCAGACCCGCCGCCAGAGGGTGGAGCGCCAGGCTCACCATCCGCCGTTTGGCCGGTATGATGAACGCCCAGGTGGAGGGGTGGCAGACCCCCTCAAACACCACCTCATCATCCTGCGCGAGGATGTTTGTCTTGACGTCCCTCTGCGCGGCCGAGCGGCGCTCCGTCAGCACCCCCACAATCTGCAGGGTAAGGGAGAGTAGCGCGGCGCCCGCACCGACCAGCGGGGCGGCCAGCCGGGCGCGCAGCAGCAGCGTGAGCGGCACGCCGAGCAGCGCCGGCGCCAGCAGCAGCAGCAGCTGCAGCAGCGGCACGTAGAGCGGCGCGGCGAACGGCAGCCGCAGCCGCGCGCCGCCGGCCGCCGTCTGCGCCAGACGACGCCACAGGTACTCCCGCTTGTAGTCGTTGATGACGTTCAGGTTTGGAGCGTCCATCGTGAGGATCAGGTGGCAGTGTGGGGCATCCAGGGACTCCCAAACAGACGAAGAACTTGTGGTCTTGGCTGATGCTTCATTTTCACTTCAGTGACTTCAGATGGCCATCAGAGTTAACCCAGATGGCGAACATGACAGAAAACTTGTCTCTGGAGTCTGGGCTGGCCTCTTTGGGTGCACACATCATTTACTTCAAATAAGTCATGCATTCAACTTACACAGCTTGAGTAGTATGGAATGGACCCATTTAGGTCAGATTCAACTGGTCCATAGAAGCAAGTACAACCTTATGACAATACCAATTCCCATGGCATGGATTCATCTTGATTAGCTTACAAGTCAGCCTGCAAAAAAGGGTATAAAATATGACATAAATTGGTGACTGAGCTTGCCAACTAAATAGCTTAGTGGGGGAGATAATCCAACTTCTAAGCATGTCAGTGATGAGGTCCTTGTTGGAGACACTCATATGCTTAACACTTGCTCCAGAAGTCCTGACAGACTACCAGAGCTCCCCAGGTCAGTACTCCAGTGGTGTGTGCCATAAATCAACTTAAAGTGGGAATCTAGTGGGCAATAAGCAAACCATGTTGAACAGATGAATTAATCATGCTCTGTACACCAGCTTTCTTGAAGATGCAGAACACAACCACCCTTGTGGCCCACTAGTTCTGCAGGGTATACCAATCTTTAGTCTAATTTGAATCCCATGCTGCAAACAGTGCAATCTGCAGACTGATATTGATGCTGTGATTAATTGGCTAGGCTCTAATGTGATGCATACTGTGGCCACAGCCTGTCTGAAATAATGTTAAATAGATATTCTCAATACAACAATCACCATGCAAGGTCCAGTGGGTAAGCTTTGTTCAGCCACTGGTGGTAGACCTCTAATGAGAAAATTACAAATGTTCTCATGATGGTAGGTAAAGGAAAACTGAGGTTGTTGCAAGAAAGCATACCAATAGTACCTTATATTAATTTCTCTCATAGAGTGATATACCTAGATACAGCACACAGCAAAAGCTTCCCTTTCCATTGATATTAAAATTAAGAAACACTTGAACTCATAATCATATTAACACAAAGTCTTGAAATTATTCACACATAACCTACAGAAATCCCAAATTTTGAGCCTACATTTTAGATAATCATCTGAATATAATTGGGACTGGGAGATATAATGGCATGGATTTAGGCCTGGACACAGTCTCAAGATGGGCCCAGCTTCCTGCAGATGCCAAAAAGATGTGAACATTTCAGTTTGCAGAGGCAGGAGCCAACATTTGCTTCACACAGAAACATTTGTGGAGTTGCTGAAGTTTTTTTTCTTTGGCAAGTTTTCACTTTCCCAGTTTTTTTTCCTGGAAAGCCGAAAGTGAAGCAGCAGTGCCAGGACGTCGTGTACTCTTATAGCTCAGACATCTAAAAAAAAAACACTTCAGTTTGGGAAGTTGGGCCAGTGATCAAAATAAACATTGGGTAATTGAATGCACTGAAATCATCATCAGCCTGTGACTTGCATGAATACTTATATTAACCCGGTTTACATAGCATATTTGACGAGGCTCTAGCTCGTTTATTTGGCGATAATTTCGATGCAGTGGTCTTCAAATATTTAGAAGGGATCATTTTGTAAATTGTTAAGCACCATTGGCATCTTTTGCAACGTCATGGACGGAGATATAGGCTTGCAACAAGCCCTATGTAAACGCGTCTATTGAGACAATGCTTGTATCAGTATGGCACAAGGAGACCAACACGCTTTTAAAAAGGAAACACATGTGAAAAGTGCATAACAAAATTACAGCATTATCCAATAATTCAAGCAGATGACAACAACTTACCTCAATTTACAGCACCTTAGCGTTGTTTGTTCGTTGTTTACAATTCTATATAGGGCCTTGGTTTGCAATATTGTTTGTTTATTGTTTGTTTGCTTATTTGTCAAAGTAAACATATTTGGCGCAGATAATACAAACAGAAGAATTCCAAGCTCATTCTGTTCACTAACAGGTTTTGTGTGTTCGCAAACCAAAATCAAAGAAAATTTTTCCTCGTTGCTAAGCAACAACTTCTAAAAGCTCTATGAGTGTTACAAGTCGAACAGGGCAAAAATGCCTCCCCTCATTTGTAAGAAAATATATTTGGTGTTATTTTTGGGTAAAATTTGCCGACTAAAATACACATCAAAATGAGTTTCAGCATACAAAAACTTTTTAAAAGAAAAATTTGAAATATCACAAAAGAATTACTTTTCAATAAACAAACGAAGCGATTCAAGAGTAGTACACTCAAATTTTTGCACAGTAATACAGGCCAGCGGCTGTGTTCCCGCCAAATTTACGCTAACCTTGCTCTCCCCACGCGTTATATATTTTGTTTGTGTGATTTATGCTGGAGCTGGACTGATAGGAGCTGTTTTTTCTTCGCTTCGTGTTGGGTGTTTTTGTTAAGTGATTACGTTAGAACCGATAGCATATTTAACGTATTTTCCTCTTAACGATGTCTGGTTTCGATGATGCTGGTGTTTTCTTCTCCGACAATTTTGGTGCCGAAGATCACGATGAAAATCAGGCTAATTTGCAAGCTGTGAAGAAAAAGTTCAAAGATTTCCTACGTGAATTTCATGAGGGCAATTTCAGTTATAAATACAGGTATGTCGGTGATGACTGATGGCCATTCTAATTCAAGAATTTTTTCCTAGATACGTTTAAAAACAGGCTAGACCACAGGGCTGCCGAACCTGCCTCCTCGCACCACAATTGACCTCATTCCTAGTCCGGCTCAATGTGAGCACTGAATAGACCTAGTCTACTACAGCTCACTACAACTTCAACTTCAACTTCAACTTCAACTTCTAGATGTTTTGACACAATTCTGTGAATTTTTTACAATTGTGAAATGAGATTTTATGCACCTATCTCACAGAACATGCCTTTCTATTGTTTCAGAGACAATCTGAAGAGAAACTACAATCTTCAAAAATATTACCTGGAGGTGCTCTTGGAGGATGTGGCCAGTTATGATGAAGCTCTTATGGATTGTCTCTACAAGAAGCCTTCTGAACATCTTCCTTTGGTAGGCACTAGCTAAGCACTGAGTGTTGGTCTCATCAGCCATGATATAGTAACATTGATGCTTTGTTGTATGCTTGTTTTATCTTTCTCCCATGACTTAAGTGATGTTTGACCTTTTGTTCTATGCATTTCAGTTTGAAGAGGCAGCCAGGGAAGTGGCTGATGAAATCACCCCTCCGCGACCTGAGGGCGAGACAGAGGTGGAAGACATCCAGGTCTGCCTCATCTCCAATGCCAATCCTTCCAACATCCGAGACTTGAAGGTGAGAATTCTGGAGTAAATGCCAACTCCCACAGTTAGGATGCAAATATGATGTCAGGATGCCAACAAAGCTTTTGTATTTACGATCATGGGCGATCCACAATTGAGGATGAAATGAGCAATGACAATAAAATATGAAAACCAATAAATGGAATGAAACATGGACATAAATAACTAGCCTGCTCCAAAAGGCCTGCTCCAAAACAACTAACATTTCCCATACTCCCTCTGCCCTCCAGTCAGAAGCGGTCAGCCACCTGGTGAAGGTGCCCGGTATTATCGTGGCGGCGTCCGGTGTGCGGGCCAAGGCCACGCGGCTCTCGGTGCAGTGCCGCTCCTGCCGTACCGTCATCCCCAACCTGGCCGTACGGCCGGGTCTCGAGGGCTACCAGCTGCCCAGAAAGTGCAACACGTGAGTTTAGGGACCGGACAGGACTAGGGGAGAACGGAACGTGACACGTGACAGGGGCTGGTATGGACATTTTGGAGTTTGACCAGCGGGTATGGTGCTGCATGTGTTGACACGATAAATGGGATATGCTGTAAATGCAGTGCGGTGTTCGGGTATTCAATGTTTCGTCATATCGGGGTCGTAGTATTCGTTTTACCGATATCGGACGGACTCGCGGCCGAAATGACCGATTTTCATCACTGCCGTACGTCGTACGCTTATCAAATTTTACCGACATTTTATCCGAGTATTATCTGATCTAGCTACGTGTTTGCACTACATGCCCTTTGTTCCCTTCGTCTGCGTGCTCTCACGTTTCTGTGTGTATCCCCTGACGCAGTGAGCAGCCGGGCCGACCCAAGTGTCCGCTGGACCCGTACTTCATCATGCCGGACAAGTGTCGCTGCGTGGACTCCCAGGTGCTGAAGATGCAGGAACTGCCCGAGAGCATCCCGCAGGGCGAGATGCCGCGACACCTGCAGCTCTTCTGCGACAGGTTAGGACGGGGTCGTATGATGGTTTGGAACACGGGTCACGGAGCAGATCTGGTCGAATGTTTGTCGGGATGGGTCCGGGTGATGGGATTGTCTGAACGATCACGAGGCGAGTTTTTCCAAATTACCTGTCGATGTAGGTTATTCAAAATAACGGTTTTAGTTAGGAGCACATGAGAATAGTCAAAAAGGCCGTCGATTTGGTTGCGTTTCATCAGTTACGATTATGAAATAGCAAATAGGTCGGGTGGATCAGAGGGATTGATCGGCAGAATAACTGAACTGGCTCAGACGAGTTGAGTTTTATCGGTCGATCGGAGCTGAGTTGTTGAATCGAAGAGGTCAATCCTCACTCAGGACTTGTATAATGTATAGTTCACTTAACGTCGTCTGATACTCGTCTAATTCCGCGCCACTCCTCACTCAGGTACCTGTGCGAGCGTGCCGTCCCGGGAAACCGTGTCACCATCATCGGCCTCTACTCCATCAAAAAGACGCAGGGCGCTAAGGTAAGTCCGGCAGAGCTGCGGCGCGAGAACTTAAACTGTTCGCGGTGGAAGATCGAAATGTTTGTGGGAAAATTCAGCACCATTGCGATTGGAGTACTGTCTGTCGGAATGTTCATATTTCATAAGTCGAATTTGCTTAGCGATGCTAAACTTCTCTACCTATTATCTCTCTTTGTCCTGTGTTTGTCTTGCTCACTTCTGTAGATCCACGCCTTACGCCACCCTGTGTTCGTGTTTTCAGAAGCAGGACAAGGGTAAGCCTGGCGCCGGTATCCGCGCGCCGTACCTGAGGGTGATCGGTATTCAGATCAACAACGAGGGAGCCGGCAGGACATCTACCATCAACTTCACCCAGGTCAGTGACGAAACTCCCTCGTAGCAGAGCGATATGTGTTTGGGGATTGGTCTGCGTCTGTGGGCTTTTACCAGCACAGCGACAAGGAGCCGTTAAAATCGTGAGGTGCCCTGATGAGTGAAAGGGACGCGGAATGGCGGGTTCCCGTATGATTTTGTCGGTGCGGTGTGCCTATTCTCGTTGCGTATTAAAGTCGCCGCTTTTTATCAAGATCTTGAGTATTTGATAGTAGAGCAATCTACTAGAGAGGGTCACATGATGACGTTATCTGGACCATGCTGAAGCAAAAAGTACGTCTTCCGTATTTTCATATATTCATAACATATTAGCCGTCGGTGTCCGCACGTCTCGGCATCGCTCTGCCAGTCTCTTTTGACCAGTGCTGCCATCTCACGGACAGGAAGAGGAGGAAAAGTTCCGCGCGCTGGCCGCCTCGCCAGATGTCGTGGAGAAGATCGCCAAGTCGATCGCGCCCAGCATCTACGGCTTCACCAACGTGAAGCGAGCCATCGCCTGTCTCCTGTTCGCCGGTGGGTGCCGCCGCTGATGGGGTAGGGTAGGAAGAACGGCCTGTGTGGCTTGGGTTATGGCTATAAAATCGTTGTTTTATCTTACGTTTTCAGGCTTTTATTCCGATTTTGCTTTTCGACTGGCAGCTGGTAGCAATCAGGCTTACAAGGTCGTAAAACTTGCTGAACTCGGCAGGGTTTATGTCGTTCAATATTCATATGACTGGCAATTGCCAGAACTTGGTCCATTACTACTTTCAAGGAAAATTTTAAATATCCATTTGACACTATCTTCACCCTACCACGTTAGTTTTGCTCCAATGACGTCATATATATTTCACAGGCTCCCGCAAGCGGATGCCGGACGGTCTGACGCGCCGCGGTGACATCAACGTGCTGCTGCTGGGTGACCCGGGAACGGCCAAGTCCCAGCTGTTGAAGTTTGTGGAGCGCGTCTCGCCCGTGGCCGTGTACACCTCTGGAAAAGGCTCGTCGGCGGCGGGTCTGACGGCCAGTGTCATCAGGGACCCCCAGTCGGTGAGTGACGCGAAACCCGGGGGCATCAGGGTCGTTGGGTGTTGTGGGAGGTCGACTGCATTTTCGCCGCTTAGAGGGGTCTGTAACACCATCAGTAGTCCTCTTGCTACCAGTATGAGTTTGTAGCACGTAGTCTGTCACCCGAAGTCGGTAGAACTCAAGGCTAGAAGTTGAACTATAGTCTGTGATTCTGAAACTCTGTCTTGTGGCCTCTAACCTTTACCCAGTGCTATGTTACTGATCGCACGGTTCGTCGCCGCCAAACTCGGCGTGCAAAGCCGATATAACTACATGGTTAACGTGGGAAGTCTTCATAGTTGGTGTGCAAAGTCGGCATAGTTGGCATGGGAAGCCTCGAAAGTTGCCGTGAAAAGTCTCCGAGACGCGTGAGCACAAGTCACGTCGTTGTCCAGCCTGTCATCCTCTCGACCCGGTGCCCCTTATCTGACTGTCACTTTTGGCGATGTGACACCCCGTTAGCCACGAACTTGGACGGCAAACTGGAGTGGCCGGCGGCAAGTCTGCGGAAGTCTGAGGAGGGACGTAACTTGGCGCAATGTTTTCAGAAAGTGTAGCTGCAACGAAATGTAGCTGCAGGCTCAGATGTCAGCGGTGGTCGTCACTGGTCACTTGAGAATTATTTACTGGAAACAATTTTCCGGTATGACAAAATGATGTAAAATCAAAGTATCCAAATAATGTGAACCAGCCAGCTCACCACGGGGACATTTGATTCCCAGCTGTGCTTCCATTTAATTCCATCGGACACGGAGTCCACTTTCCTCGGGCACTAATTCCACTGTCGGGCAATACGCCGTAAACCAGACAGCGGCCACGCCCTCTAAGCAGTGACTGCGGCGGCGAATTCCGCGAACCCTGATGGACGGCCCAGTTGTCCGGAGCGACAATAGATGTTGCTGCCGGCGATTTATGCACCGAACAACTCGCCGGGCGGAGAAATACGCCTCCGGCTATCTGACGCCGCTGGATTTATGTGACCGCTGGGCCGTGCCGCTGACTCTGTGTGCAAGCCGCGCAGTGGCGGTACGACTCGTGAGTTACTTACCGCGGCTCCCCGCGCCCGGCGGTATTGAATGGTGTTGCCAGGATGCGTGTTTGCCGAGCTGTATCGTTCGCACGGTGGTTCAGACTTTGATGGCGATTGTGAGGAGGTGGCGTCGGTCGGAATTGATTTGTGTTTGCCTAGTCGGTAATATGCTGCGGAATTACATGGGTAATGTGAGATTGAATTACTTGTTTGTGGAGTTGCCGCGCTGATTGGTCATACAAGTCCATTTTCCGTGGAACGTGAGTTGCCCCTCGTCAGTTTTCTTCTGTGGATTTCACCAGTATTTTACTATGTAGCGTGAAATTTCGCAGATAATTATTATACTGCGTTTATAATCAAATCTGTCCAACACGTATCTTTATGAAACGTTGCCACACTTGTAAATTGGTGGTCGCAGTAACTATGCGAGCTATGGTCTGGGTGAAAATCGATTCAAGCTTGGATGATAATTCTGCTCCAACATTCGGTAAAAAGCTGTCAAAGAGCGCAGAAACTTGACTCAGATCCGAGCGTCGTGATCCCCTCCCCTGTCTGCCCCCCCCCCCCCCATCCATCCACTCAGCTGGTGACCTCGTTTGTCCCCTCTGTGATTACAGCGTAACTTCATCATGGAGGGCGGCGCCATGGTTCTGGCCGACGGAGGCGTGGTCTGTATCGACGAGTTCGATAAGATGAGGGAGGAGGATCGCGTGGCCATCCACGAGGCCATGGAACAGCAGACCATCTCCATCGCCAAGGTATCGCTTCGGCGATTCACCGTGCATGACTATTCTGGATGTAGTGGGTTGGGCAATCCAATATCTCAAAGACATTTACTCTTCTGGCTTCCCTGGAAAATAGGATATCGAACACGATTCCAAACAATGTGTGAAAAGTTATTGTCGTCGTCGACAGGTTTTTCGGCGTGTTCTGTGTCATATATTGCGGCTTTTGTATGGTGACTTTCGCCACGTTTGTTGCCGGTGTTAATCTCTCTGTTAATCTGTCTGCTACTGTTTCTCCCTCCGCGCGAGTCAGTCCCTTATTTTCCGCTGGACGGTATTCGAGAGGACGGTCCTGAGAGCCTCTGCGTCCGCCCGTCTAATGAACTCGGCCTCCCGACGACCGTGTCATCATTGCACCATCGTGGTCCGCAACTCGCACAACTCTGAAAAGCTTTCGGGAAACTACGGACGCCAGTCTCTCTGACTTCGACAATCGACACTCGTCCCTTCAGTAACGCTATCCTCTAGGGCACGGTCTCTCTGCCCTTCTACTCCCTGCTCCCTTCTTTCCGTCCTTTCTTCGGATGCGGCTCTTCGCCGAAAATTACGCCGTGATATGCGTGTTCTGAGTACACCGGAAATGTGGGTAGATCAACAGTGATCGAGATGAGAGAATGGAAAAAGGAAACAGCGGTTGATTAATTCCCGGTATCTCTTCGGATGGGGGTTTATTTCCTTTCGGTGTCGTGACGAGTATCACCTAGAACTCGGAGATACGGGTTACAGTAGGCGATTATTGTCTAATTTTGCAAATTATGGACCCAGCAATCATTGAATGGCGTAAGTTTTACAGCGATGCCATATTTTTCCGCATCATTACATGCTGCTGGTGATGCCTTGTGAGTGTTATAACCTGAGTTGTTGGGTCGCAAAAAAAAATCCGATGATTTGTGCCTAAAATGGACGTCTTCCGTACATCGCTTCCGGTGCATCGCGATGACCTTTAAACAACTCGACCCGGAATCTATGTCACGTGACTGCCACTGCCTCCGATGTTCCGGGGCTGAACTTTGCGTTTGATTCTTTGAAGATAAGCGGCCCGAGTTGTTTCATCCGGCCGGCCGTTTTCCGCTCGACCTTTGGACCGCCTCACTCTGACCTCTAACCCGCCACCTAACGTGACCTGTATGCAACGTGTTGACCCGTATGACCTCTGTGACCTCAGGCGGGTATCACGACCACGCTGAACTCCCGCTGTGCCGTGCTGGCCGCCGCCAACTCCATCTTCGGCCGCTGGGACGAGCTCAAAGGAGAGGAGAACATTGACTTCATGCCGACCATCCTCTCTCGATTCGACATGATCTTCATCGTGAAGGACGAGCACGACCCCACTCGGGATATGGTGAGTAGTCCGCGGCAGCAGAGCAGGGGCCTGGGGGTGTCACTCGCGCTGTGGCATCGCGCTCGGCTGCCAGCGGTCTGAGGGACTCTCGTCGAGGCCTGGAGTAGCCCGTGCGATTGCGCTGTTCCGTTTTGTGACTTTATTATGACTCCTCTGCATCTTTTGTGTTAAACGCATTGTATTTAATGATTGGGTTAAATGGGTCAAAATTTTGGAACGCGATGGCCTTTGAGTCAAATTGTGATGAGAAATAGCGGTGGTGTATTACGTTCGTGTCCTGATTTTCGTGAATTTGGGTGGAAACCCACACCTAACAGATTCTCTTTGTGACGTCCCGGAAAGCCAAACGACGTCCCTGACAGATAAAAGTCGATAGGTATATCGAACACCAAAAGCAAACTAACAAAAAGAAATATCACCTCTGTAGCCTAAAAACACGGCTATGCAAAATGACAATAAATATATCCTAAGTCCTCAAAAACTCACTCTAACACTCAACTCCCCTTTCCTGGACGGTCGTCAAGTTAGATGTAAGTGAATCCTAATCTATAATCTAAGATTCGGAATCAGGTGAGCCCCTACGATTTGGACCAAACTTGGTCAGTGGATAGTACGTAACGTCCTGATTACGATACACCCAAAATGTAAGCTCGGCCCGCCATATTTACGAAGTTACGGATGTTTGAATTTCAAGGTCATTCGGGAGAGCCCCTGCGATTTCCGTCAAAATTTGTGTACGGACACTCTAGATGCTCCTCATTACGAATAACACAAAATTTAAGCTCGGCCCGCCATATTTACGAAGTTACGGAGGTTTGAATTTCAAGGTCATTTGGGTGAGCCCCTGCGATTTCCGTCAAAATTGGTATACGGACATATTACATCCTCCTCATTACAAATATCATAAAAGTTAAGCTCGGCCCGCCATATTTTTCAAGTTACGGAGTCACAAAGTTACGGAATTTCAAGGTCATTCGGAGAGCCCCTCCGATTTTCGTCAAAATGTGTATGCGGACACAATACATGCTCCTCATTACGAATATCGTAAAAGCTAAGCTCGGCCCGCACTATTTCAAAAGTTAGAGATGTTTGAATTTCAGTGAGTTTCAAATGTCAGTAACTTTTGAAATAGTGCGGGCCGAGCTTAGCTTTTACGATATTCGTAATGAGGAGCATGTAATGTGTCCGCATACAAATTTTGACGAAAATCGGAGGGGCTCTCCGAATGACCTTGAAATTCCGTAACTTTGTGACTCCGTAACTTGAAAAATATGGCGGGCCGAGCTTAACTTTAACCCGCGCCCTGCTGGGGGTCCTGGATTTCCACGCCCTGCTGGGGGGGGTGTTTGAACACCCCCCCCCCTTGTAACTCGGCTCCTGGGCCACGTAGCGATACGCGGAAGGCGGCGTTCGAAAGAGCGTAAAAAATAATGACGAAATCACTTCGGTCAATTTTTTGGTCAGGTCAAAGGTCAGGTCACCAGAGGTCATTGAAGGCAAAATTTCGCCGATTTCCAGGTCGAATGTCGAAAATTTCCAAGAAGCCAACGCATAACTCGGGAACCAATAGAGCTACAGCGCCGCGGAAAAGCGCATTCGATAGCCCTATTAACGCCCTTTCTGAGTAATTCTCTCAGATTTGACCTAAGGTCAACGGTTTTGCCTGCAGGGGGCAAAAACTGCAAAAATAGCCGATATTTTCGAAAACAGTTTTTCTGCAATAACTTTTGACCCAAGCCTTGTACGAGCTTACTTTTACCGGCATCGTGTTCCTCTCGTCAAGACGCATCGAATGAACTATAACTTGACCTTGAAAGGTCAACTTGAAAATTTGACCTCAGGTCAAGGTCATGACCTGACCGGAAAGGGTCATGTTGCATATCAGTCGATCCGTATCGTCGAGCTGAACACATCTAAGGCGTTTTCATCGCTCTAGCATGCCTCTATCAAAAGTCATTTGCGAAAAACTGTTAGATACCATTCGTGACCTAAGATGACCTCAGGGCATAAACAAGGGTCACGGACACCATTTTCAAGTTCAGTGTGTCTAAACCACTTGTAATTCGGTGTTTGGGAGTGTGTATAATGTCTTTCATCCAAAAGAGGCGCATTTCAATTTTCTCCCATTGACTTATAATGGGGAGGTCGCAAAATTGACCTGACCTTAGGTCATCGATATCAAAATTCTGAGATATACATTTTGTACATGCTATTGCTCTTAGCAATCGCTGAAAGTTTCAAAGCGATCGGTCACTCGGTGTAGCTATGACAGACATTGAAAGTTTTTATGAGGTGAGGTCACTTCAAGTGACCTGGTGACCTGACCTTGAATGACCTTGGTCTGAAATTTTCACAACATGTGTAGAATTGATGTATGATAAGGTGTACCAAAAACGGCGGCGCTCCGCGCCGCTGTTTTTGAGATATTCGCGAAAAACCACAAGGGGGGGTGTTCAAACACCCCCCCCCCCCCCCAGCAGGGCGCGGGTTAATAATATTTGTAATGAGGAGGATGTAATATGTCCGTATGCCAATTTTGACGGAAATCGCAGGGGCTCACCCAAATGACCTTGAAATTCAAACCTCCGTAACTTCGTAAATATGGCGGGCCGAGCTTAAATTTTGTGATATTCGTAATGAGGAGCATCTAGAGTGTCCGTACACAAATTTTGACGGAAATCGTAGGGGCTCTCCCGAATGACCTTGAAATTCAAACATCCGTAACTTCGTAAATATGGCGGGCCGAGCTTAGATTTTGGTTGCATCGTAATCAGGACGTTACGTACTATCCACTGACCAAGTTTGGTCTAAATCGTAGGGGCTCACCTGATTCCGAATCTTAGATTATAGATTAGGATTCACTTACATCTAACTTGACGACCGTCTTTCCTGGCCAACTGCCGCAACAGTAAACAACGCGGTTTTATTTTATTTTTGTTTTCTGTGCGTCAGATATGGATAAGTTTTTTCCTTTACCATGTGAAGGTAATGCTGCCATATGAAGGAGAAAAGATGTCGGAATAGAGGGATCTGAGGACGTCGTTTTCCACTTTTCAGTTTTAGTAACTGTGCAGTGTATAGATAGAAATTAATCATGCGAATATATTACTTGGACATTTATCTATAAGCAAGCAACATACCTTTTGTATCAAATTACTGTAACATATTTAATTATTTTTTCCCCTCAGAAGGTCACAGTAACGGGTTAGCGCTGCCCCTTGAACATGCCCTTTAAAAGTAGTTAATTTTGCATATGTTGATAGTGGTTGGGGAAAAAGTTTAATGTTTATCTGTTTGAGTTAAAATAAGGCCACCGAATTTCAACAGTATTAATTCAAGTATGTCGTCCTTGGCTTAAAAATACACGCAATGTTGGGGACGTCGATTGACCTTGTTATTCCCATTTAATCGACGTCGGTACAAAACTGAAAAGTGCACAATGATTTCACATTTTTTCCAGCCAAGAAAAATTCAGCGTCCACCTTGGAGTTTTCTTAATTGAATTTCATAAAAGGAAGCTATGGAAATTAATTTTCCGAGCCGTTTTCCACCTCTTTGTTTGGACGTCTGTTTTTTTACATCAGTCCTCTTGCTCGATATGATATCCCTCTTATGACGTCAATATTTAGTGATAGCCGCTGGCTCTTGGGTTGATTTTTGTTGAATCATATTTGTTGTTGACTGTTATGTACGATCATGGACAAGAACTAGACATCTTCAAAGTGTTGTTTTGGTGTTTGTGGTGAATGCTTGAATTTTGTATTTTACTAGGGGTAAACTGGCATTACTTTGTGTCTATATATGATCATTTGAGGTGCCTTGAGGTGGTATTAGTCAATATTGCCAGTGAAAATCGCTAATTTTAAGAGATTTAGGTAAGGGCTTCAGTGGCTTAGGCTCCGCACCGATATCGACGTCCTTTTGAAATAGCGACGTCCTCGCAGCTTCAATCACACTCTCCGAAAAATCAATTTCAGGACACTGTTACGTTCTATGCAATTATGGCTGTGGGGATCCCACCTGTATTTTTGTTTGTAGATTGGGTAGCAATGGCAGACGTTTGCTTTTCCCCGGAACCGTTGTAATTTCCCCCGGGCTTAGTTCCAACTTTCTGGAGGCTGTCATATCGCGCAAAGTATGGCGAATTACCGCGTAATTGTTTCATTTGGATGGTCGGGTAACACTCGTGGCTGCTAAGTCAGCTCACAGCTGTATTCCATCTTTTGGGAGCTTACCACGCTTGAACAAGCCCGGGGAAGTGTCACTGTTCGTTTGTTACGTGTGTTATGTGATGTTCAACGTCTGCGCTTAACGCCTTGCTCAACGCCTTGTGATTAACCGAGGCGCCTTGTGCCCTTTTTCCTCCAGACCCTGGCCAAGCACGTGATGGGTATCCACATGAACGCCCTGCAGGAGAAGCCGCCCGGCGAGGGCGAGCTCTCCCTGGAGTTCCTCAAAAAGTACATCGCCTACTGCCGCAGGTATGCTACCTTTATATTTACGTTATTGTTTACTGTGGAATAAGGAGAGGAGCATATCGTGAAGCGGGACGGGAAAAAAGAAAGACAGGATTCGATGCCGTGAGAAAGCAAAAGTTACTGGTCAGGCCGTGTGGGCCGGAGTAGTTTTCCTTATTTTATCACATTTTGGGCCTGTTCTGTATGATTTTCAGCGTATATAATTGGCCGTTTCCCGGTTTCCTTCCCCTCCATTGGCTGCAGAGCTGGAAATCCCCTGACTCACGCCTACCACAGACCACTGCCCTCGTCGCTACTGTACACTGATTTACACGATTTATTCTCTCCGATTCTGATTTATCGTGAGTTGAGCCGTTTCGCACAGTCGCATATCAAACAGTTCTGCTGTCGTCGGGTCTGTTTGGGATATATGGACGCCCTGCGGCCACCAAACGCAATAATTGGGGTCGACGCCCCTCTGTTCGCATTGCATGTCGTAGTGAGGGGATCCTGATAGGCTGTTTGTGTCGAAATGTGGACTGATTCAGTCTCTTTCGTGATACAGGAGTCGATTATGCCATCCGTGTCATTGGGTTATTAAAAGGAATACAACTTCCGAATGTATAAAAAGGAGCATTGTGTATTCGTTAGCAGAGGAAGGGGATGATGCAAATAGTAAGCATGCATAACCACCTCCTATGCCAATATGAGGCAAAACCGGCGCTGCTCCAAAATGACTACCTCTAAAATTATGGCAACCGATGCCGATGTGTGTTCAAACTTGATCACTAATATCGTATCTGACCATAAAACAATATCCCACCCCGAGTGATAAACCAGCCACGTGGGTGTGTGCTTATGGCAGCGATGCTCGCCACCAGTTCCTCCCGAGGGAAGTTATCGGCCGCCGGGGTGGTAATGGCTCGTCTGGCTTTATGCGGACTGCCGGCCGACTTATTAACCGGGTGTATTTCGATGAGATATAGTCCCCCAGGGTGTAATAACACCCGATGTGTGACGTGGTACGGGAGAGATAATGATTTGTGGTGGTTAGCTCAACTTGGACTAAATTGATGGTTTTTGTGGTGCTGATTTGTCAGTACCTACAGGATAAACCACCACTTCCTGTATCAGCAGATATCTCATAGTTTTTGCAATCTCTGTCGTAATTTCATTGCTGCCTGGATTCGTTGTCCGAATCGATGATTGCATGTCGTTCTCATTGGAGCATTACGTTAGCGACACAAGAGCGCGTTGTGTTGACAGTATGATTGTTTAGAAACACGCCCTGCATTGCACACTCCAAAATGTATGTGTTGCGCGTGTCAGTTGTGTGGTGAGGTGTTTTGCGCTCCGTGTGCGCGTGTTTTGTTTTCTCGTCCCTCACATGTCCCTCCCTTCCACAGCCACTGCGGCCCTCGCGTGTCGGAGGAGGCCGCCGAAAAGCTCAAGAACCGCTACGTGCTGATGCGGGGCGGCGCGCGCGAGCACGAGAACCAGTCTGAGAAGCGACTGGCCATCCCCATCACCGTGCGGTGAGTCACAGCGGCGCGACCTTTTGGGGCGGATTTTGAAACTCGGGATGGGGATGAACGGTACCAGACTTTTCTGTTATGTTTGAGAGGAGGGGCGAGTTCTCGAAAACTCCATCGATTTGTTTGGGGCTTCAAGTCTCACGGTGACGTTTACCAAGGGCAAGCATGCTTGTGTTTTCTGGTGACTTAAACCTTTTTTATATTGTATTATATTTTCCCGAAATATGTCTCACTCCATTCTCAGTTCGTAACACACCCTAATGGATAAAATCGCGCGTTTTACAAATGAGAGTTTTGCGTTTTTTAAAGGTTTTACGAGTTTTGCATGACACAACCTGACGCGTTTTACGAGTTTTGCAGTTTTTTGATTTTATGAAGCCACGCGTTTTTCGATTTTTTGACAAATCTTCCGCCGTGGAGATGGCACCGTGTAATTTAATGGTACAGATCAACGCCGGATCATGAAAAACTCGCAAAACATAAAAAAGCGTTAAAACGTCATTAAAAACGCGCAAAACATGTACCGTGGAGAACGACCTTTACAGCCGACCCACAGCCGATCATTCTCAAAATCATCGCATACCTGGCTTATTTATGATCCCCCTCCCCCCCCCCCCTCCCCACAGTCAACTGGAGGCCATCATCCGCGTCTCCGAGTCTCAGGCCAAGATGCGTCTGCAGCCGTTCGCCACTGGTGAGGATGTGGACGAGGCCCTCCGCCTGTTCCACGTGTCCACTCTGGAGGCCGCCACCTCGGGTGGACTGGCCGGCGCCGAGGGCTTTACCACGCAGGAGGACCACGATATGCTGGTTCACATCGAGCGGCAGATCAAGCGCCGGTTCGCGGTCGGGTCGCAGGTGTCGGAACACGCCGTGGTGCAGGACTTCCTCAAACAGGTGCGTTGGCGGGGTGCTCTGTGGGTAAATTTGGGGTGGTTGGATGGGGGAGCGAGGAATGAGAAACGAAGGTAACATTTTATTTGGCGAGGCCCAAACGGGATGGGCGCCAGGAATCTGTTATTGATGACACGAGTGACAGCTATTTTTATGGATCTTCCACTTGATTACTGACTTTTGCTGTACACTGTTTGCTAGCAACTAGCATTGGTCTTTCATTGGCATCTGGCGCCGAACTACTAGCACATCTATTAACCGACATGGTTTATTTCTAGGTTTATTTGCCGGGCGTATCCACAGTCTGTCGCTGACGGCTGTTAGCGCAGAAATCATTGGTCATCACGCACTGTCCTCGGCAGCGGTGCCTACCTATTCATTTCAATTACCATGCGCATATTTGGGGCACCGCTGACGGACACTTTGCTGGCACTTGCCTCTATTACTGTCATGACTCGGCGATTCCGTTTACACACGTCCTATTAACCAGTATAACGCCTTTTGGGGCGACTAACGGAGCGAGCGAGAGGGTGGGCCTTGCACGTGCGAAATTGCGAGGGGGTACCTCCAACTGACTTGTGCACGGCACCCTACTAACTGGTCTCTAGCGATGTGCCAAATTTGGGCACAATCGGCCCAGCCGTTCTCGAGATCTGGAAGCGGTACCCTGCACGTGCGCACGTGCAAAATGGGTCCCAACTGACTTGTGCACGGCACCCTACTAACCGGTCCCTATCCATGTACCAAATTTGAGCGCAATCGGTCCAGCCGTTCCCGAGATCTGGAAACGACCCCTGCACGTGCGCACGTGCAGCAGCACCCCAACTCTGGCACATGGATATGCAGTGCCTAGTGGGTGCCTACCTACATGCCAACTTTCAGCGCAATCGGCCAAGTAGTTACCGAGATATTGCAACAATTACAAAAGTGACACCTCTTCGTTTTGCACGTGGCACGTGCATAAGGGGTCACCCACATGCATCGGGAATAGTCCAATACTTGGTAGAAGGAATGAAGCTACCCTACAAAAAAATACCGCGAGTAAATCGGTCAAGTGGTTGCTGAGATATAAGCCTCGCAAAAGCGTGACCACGGCCGGCCGGCCGGCCGGCCGGCCGGCCGGCCGCTCATACTCAGAAATTTCCGTTAATCTAAGGAAAGACTACGCTCGCTTCGCTCGCTCCGCAATCAATATTTATCCACTATACATTTCCATTTCTTGTTGTTTTTTTTAGGTGTAGTTACTGAAGACGTGGCTCGTGCAGATATTTTGTGATAAGCAAATTTGTAAATGGTTCGTATTTGTTCCACATGACGTCCGTTTACCGAGCGATTCGTCGGCAGGTCTCGGGACACATTATTTATGTAGGTCACTGGGGGGTGGCTCTCCATTTGTGTTAATGGCTCCGGGCGATCAGCGAGGGGACTGTGACCGCCCCCTGCCTCAGCCAGACCGCTGGGGCGTGCCACTGAGATCGGGGGGGGGGGGGGAGGGTCGGCGATAGGCGTCTGTACTTGATGATTCTCTAAGCAGCGGTAGTTAACAATGTGTGTTGTATATTGCTTTGTCTGCGGTTATAATTCTTTCCAGTTCTTGTTTATTTTGTTTTGACATGCTGATTGCTGTAGAACTTATTTCGTCGCTGATAAGTGGAAGCCCGTCTCACTTGCCGGAATACAAATCGCTCTCAATGATCTGACTGAATGCACTACCACAAGCAATAGCACATTTATGGCGCTGTGGTAACGTTTCCCGGTCGAGCCATCCGTCGGGATGCTGTAAGCTTGTGCCCTGGTTCGTGTTTATACACTGACGGCTACAGAGGGCGACTGTTGTTTGCTCACTTTGATGAGCAGAGGGGGGAGGGGGTAGCTGGGTGTCAGCCCCTCCCATTGCCCCATCCCGGTGGCCAGAGGACCGTATGCAGACCGAACTTTGGCCGTTTTCTCTGCCGCGGTCGGAGCTGGATGTGTTTCGATTCTGTTCGCCGCACCGTTTGGGTCCCCTATCCAACGTATTCTCTAGCTTGACTCTAGACTCCCCAGTTTTACTCTTACCTGACTCCTGATCCAGTCTAGACTTTCCAGCCTGGCTGTGGTGGCTCTTCTGTGGCGGCTAGGTCTCTGTCGTGTCGGTTGTTCTTGTACAAAGGCGCACTTTGAGCCGACGTTTCCTCTTTGAGCCCGTTGTTTCTACTTTCAGCCCGCGTTTCTCGTCCCATTGGACCCAGTGTGTGGCGTACCTTTGTCTCCCAAGGCTTTGTCGGTCGCACAACGCAGGTTTGATCGTTCTCGTTCATCTCACGTCCCTTCGGCTATTCTCCTTTCATCTTAGCTCGTCTCCTCTTAACTTATCTCTTCAGTCCCCTTTTGGCGTGCCGCAGGAATCGTTTCAAACAACACATCACAAGACGCATTATTTCTCCATTGTTTCTCTGCAGTGTGTTTGACCAGGTGTATTCCTGTGCTGTTTCAGAAATTCCCCGAGCGTGCCATCTACAAAGTCCTGCACTTCATGATTCGTCGAGGCGAACTCCAGCACCGGCTGCAGCGCAAGATGCTCTACCGACTCAAGTGAGCGTCCCCTCCCTCCCTCCTCCCCCCTCCTCCTTCCGTGTCTCTTCCGGTTCTCTGGCGCGTGAAATGTGTACAGTCGGGCGGGCGGACCTCGGTCGCCAGCACGGGGCGGCATTGTGCTAAATCTTCCAGTGTGAACGAAGTGCGAGAGGGCAACACTGGTGCGGTGAGCCAGGGGACCACCCACCCGGCGCAGTGGGTCTGTGGGTCTCTCAGTACAGTCCTGTGGCGAGAAGAGCGTAGCTTGTGAATTCATGTCAGCAGTGAGGTATCTGCACTGGTTTCTCATCGTTGCGTAGCCGTGTATGGCACCAGTGGGACCAAGAGAGGACCAAGCTGCTCTGGTCACGTACTTAGGCTACAGAGCCTGTCTTTGAGACCGCCTTGTACCTTAGGAGGTAGCCCGTCTCTGACCAGGATTGGGACCACCGGCTGATGGCTGACGCATTGTGTTGTCCCAGCCCGGCCGTTACATTCCCGTCCCATGTCCGCGGACTGAGGTGCATGCGTGCCACGGCGCCTGAACTGTTGTATTTGGACCGTGTACCTGCTAGTGATGCTGCGGTTAGTTGTCCGTGCTGCCCCAGGCTTGATACGATGGTTTTGGCCAAATACAGGCGCGTTTTTCTATCAGTTTGTTTGGTTTCTTTACATGAAAGGCTGATCTGAGTTTAAGTTTGTGTTCGGTGGTTGACAGGTGCTCCTCTGCTGATGAGTTTTCCAGTATCTGAACTTTGTTCCCATAAAGTTAGCGTCTTCATATTGTCGCTCAATCTCGAAAAGCCTCTATCTGGACCATGCGCCCCTCGAGGGAAAACGCAATTTCCGCACACTTCTATACATGGAGCGCTGATTCCAAGCTTTCGCGAAGAATAGAGCGTAATCACACGCATTCATCAGCTTTTAATAAGCCGCTGGGCCCCTAGATATCCGATAGGCACATGCATTATAGCTGTTTTTTTTTTATTCGCAGTGGGTTTCAAGAAATTTGTAGTTCGTCACGCTATTTTCAGACCTTTTTTATGTTAATCTATAGAATTTCTCTTTGCTACATTGTTTTATCTTTTTTCTTGCAATGCTCTCATAACACAGAGCAGACAGCAGCGCCACAGTTCCTCTCTGTGGCATTATCCTCGAGTGACGACAATAACTGATGGCTGCTCTTGTCGGCGGCAGGCTGCGCCACTGCCCGCCACAGACGCGCCAGTTATGCCGCTTTTTATCGACGCCCGGCGTGCCTGTGAGAAATGGTGTTTGTCGAGCAGACCCGTGCGGGTCGGCTGGTCCGACTGTTGCGTGCGGGGCCCGTCCTCCCCTGTGCCCACACCGTGTGGTGTTTGCGTGTACGTGCCGGAAATACGTGACGTGATTCAACGCTCCCCTACGGGCACATTTCATGCAAAGTTGAAAGTGGTCCGCTATTTCCGTGAATTTTGAGCTTGTTAGCCGCGTAGACATTTGTGAGATTGTCCTGTCAATGGAGCAGAGAAGATAAGCGATATTGGATGAGGGAAAGTAGTGGTAAACAAGGCTGCAAAATCGGTTGAGACCTCGAGTACCTTACGCTTTATTACTGCGCTTGGACCCACAATCACAGCCTAAAGGCATGGTGACCTGATTTTCACATCACTTACGCTATATTCCCTGGTGCCCTTGGATAACCAAATAGGGTCACACGATGTGACTACTGAACCATCACAATCGTAGCCGGCACGGTCTCTCTCTCTCTCTCTCTCTCTCTCTCTCCTCTCTCTCTCTCTCTCTCTCTCTCTCTCTCTCTCTCTCTCTCTCTCTCTCTCTCTCTCTCTCTCTCTCTCTCTCTCTCTCTCTCTCTCTCTCTCTCTCTCCCTCTCACCCACTCTCCCCACACCCTTCTAGCGCTCAATATTGGCTCGGAGACCGTACGGACGAGTGTGACGAAAACATCGTCAGCCGTATAAGGGGTGAAGAGGTGCTCATCTGCCCCGTGAAGAGGTCAGAGGACGCCTGTTCGTGGATGATCGGGTTTATTGGGCTCCCGGCGCACCATTGTGCGCGACTTAGGATAGAACAGCAGGGGAAATGCGGATCATTGGCACGCGAAGTATTTCATTGGCATAGCGATAACCGTTTCACCTAACATTTCATATACGTATGTTTTTAAATCTGATAGGTTATGTATCATTCTGTTGATAAATGACCTTCCTTCATGCGCTGGGTACCGAAGTTGAGAAGGGTAAGTAGCAAGTAAGTAGGTGCTGAAGGGATGATCTAAAGGGAAAAGCTTGCGCCCTTTTCGACAGCCCTCGGTCTTGGTTGACGTGATGAATGTGTGATCATGATAGACCTCTGTGAATCTGTACATAGACCTCTATCATAGGTCTGGTATACAAAGGTCTATAGCGTGACAACTGACACATGTGCCTTGCGATTGACATTGACTCGGTGCTGTTACGATCCTTACATGTCGAGCAGCGAGCAGCCGGGCTCGAAGTTAATGTCATCTCCCATAGATGGCAGCAGCAGTCTGCGCCTGCAGATAGACTGTGCCGCACTGCCTCGCGGCTCCCTCGCTGGCGTAACGTTGTCGGTATGTTTTCTCCAGTGCGAGTGTCGCTTCACTGAAGCGGAGTCAACGATTCTTCTTACCTTTATTGTCCTTTTCGATAAAGGGATGTCATCTTCTAATGTATCCCACCACGCAGCGCTGCTGAATCCACGGGGCTGGCTCGGATCGTCGCCACATACGAATTGCGCCCGTCGTTTGTCTTCATTCGGCCGTTTTTACTCGGGTCTTCTTTCATTAGGTGATGGATCGGAACGACGGAGGATGAGTGAGATAGATACGACCGCAGCGTTTTACTTCACTTTCGGTTCAGCATGGGAGTTGGTGGTTTTTTAGATATCAAAATCATCATATAAAATAAATGTGGGATATGATAGGTACTAGGTAGGCATTGCAGCTTTGTGGGGGAGCTTTCCGTTTTGCACCAAAATAAATTATGTAAAAGTATCTCCTGGTTTTCACCTCATTCTTTCATAACAAGCAAACATCACCACAATCCCCTACATCTCCATTATTTACTTACGCGAGTTAGGCGTGTTTTTCATACAGTGGCACTCTGATAAAGAGCTCGGCATGTTACACATTATTTCGTTCAGCCTGCAGCCTCTTGATCTTCTCATTAGTCCGTGGAAGTGGGTACTTACAGACGGGCCTGCGCAACCGACTTGTTGGCACTTGTCGACTGCGAGCGGATCAAAGGCTGTCTGGTCGGGACCGAGCCACTTGTTTCAACACTTCCGACTCCTTGTCTGCGTGGGGTACGTCTCTCATCAACTGAGGCGGGTGCTTTGTCGGTGCCGTGTTGTGGCGACTGTTGTTCAAGGCTGGGTCAATATCTGGAGGGGTCTGATACACGGGAAAACAGTTAACGATTGGGCGATGGAACTTGGAAGGAACCTTTCACTTTCGTCGCTGGTTTACTGTAAAATGTTGTCTATGTGCGCTCTGACAGGACTTAGAGTGTTAATATGTAATGTTATCTGATCGAATGTTTCGTGTTTCATTTCTCCATTGCTGTCTCTAGTTTGGTTCTCGTACCGTTTAACAAAAGTGGCTGTTGGCGTTGTTGCATAGCCGCGAATGTGGGCTCAAATTGAGAACCAAACGCCACGCCGCTACCGGGGCGACGCTTTCAGCGAAACTGTCTTTGGATTTTGTGCCCGAGATGTTTGGTATCGACGAATACGACGCGAGTTGCTGGCCGGTCGTAGCATTGGGTCGTAGCAACGCTAAGCCCCAATCATCTTTGTTTTGTATAACGAGACACTGATGGCTTCAGTCTAGTTTTAGCGATAAAAAGGGTGACGCTAACGCTCGGAGATGTGTGCCAAATGAACGACGTAATGTGTAATGCATCTGATTCATGTTAGCTATTTTTTAGCTCTAACATTGCATTGCATTTCACGGAGTTGTTTTCTGCAGTCCGGGCGCCCAAAAGCCCAAAATTATCATCATTGGATTTACACTAATTCGTATATCTATCATAGGTACGCGCACTCCAAGGTGATTCATATATTTGCTGCCTTTATCCCAGTCTTATAGTTGGTTTCAGTTCCCTAGCCTCATGCCAATGGCTGAGCTAAGACCGCGTATGGCACCCCCCACCCCACCCCCTCACACACCGATCGTCTCTTGCCGGTCGACCACCCACCGATGATCGGGCCGTGTTGGGCCGCTTTGTGCTGCTGTTTCGGCATGAGCGGCGCTGACTGGAGCTCCTCCCGGCGACGGATCCCGCTCCCCGGTCCGATTCATTCGGCATTGTTCAGTCGGCGCCAGAAGCCGACCGTGCCATCGAGCGGGAGAATAGCGACAATGATGCGCCATTCGTCTCCTTCAGGCTGATCTGTTTTCCTGAGATTTCCTCACCCTCAGCTCCGATGGTTTCATTCCTACTCGTTTTCCGTTCGCTTCTAATCTCCATTCTACCATGTTACGGCTGCTCTGTTCAATCTCTGTCAGTGTAGTCCCATTATTTGCGTGCTCTGCTTTCGTTCACCCTCCATCACAAGTTTCCAAGAACGCGGACGCTGTCGAGGGCGCGCCTGTTGATGCGGCGCCTTTCAGGTGACCTTGGCCTGGGCCGGTCACGTGGTGCTCGGGTCGGCCGCGAGCCGGGCGGCCGGAGTCAGTGGTTTTCGGAATACAGTGACGGCCGGATGCGCTGTGTGTCCGACTGCGACGGGTCCGGTCAGCTGCCGCGACATGGTGGCAGCGGTGGGATCGGTCTGGTTAGTCGGTGTGGCCGCTTTCTGTGACTATTAGACAGTGTCTCGGTGATATTCGGCCATGGGGAACCCGGACGAAGCAGCCGACGCTGGCAGCCAGCCGGTGATGCGAGTGGCACTTGGGGATTTTCCGCTGTTTGACGGCTCAACGTCTCTGGAGTCGTTTCTTCAACAGTGTGAGCGCTTATCTCACTTGGGTGGTATTCCGGTGTCGCAGCTGCCGAGTATAATCGCAGCCAGATGCCGCGGACTGGCACAGCGAGTCGTCGAGGGCGCAGCCGCTGGGGCAGAGGTGACGACAGCCCTTCGTCACGCCTTTTCTACTACCTCTACAGCGGCCGCTGCCACGCAGCTGAGCGGTCTCAAGAAGGGCAGCATGTCGGCCCTCGAGTATTCTCTGGAAGTGAAGAGAATGATACGGCTGGCATGTCCCGAGTTTTTCGACGCGACAGGGAAAGTGAAAAACTGTTGTGGCACCAGTTATCAGGCGGCTCTCTACCGACATCTGCTGGTGGGCCTCAGTGACCAGGAGAAACTCCTCCTCTCTCGCCAGGGTGTTGCGACGTTTCAGGCAGCTGTCGACGAGTTGTTGCGAGAGGAAGCTCTTCAGGACGGCGGTGTTAGGGCCGAGGGGCCCAGAGTTCACTGGGCCGAGTGTGATGCTGTGGACGCGGCCGACGGCCGGCCGGAGCCGCCTCGAGCCCGGGAGGATCGGCGTCAAAGCGTGGACCGTGTGACGACTTCTCGACGCTACAACGTGCCTCCGGGGCGCGACGGATGTGGATTCCGACGACGATCACCAGGCCCGCCGCTGGGTCGAGGTGGCCGGTCTCCCGGCCGCTCCCCGGGGCGGCGGC